CAACAACAACAACAACAACAACAACAACACCACCAGCAGCAGCAGCAGCAGCAGCAGCAGCAGCAGCAGCAGCAGCAGCAGCATCAACACCAGACTCCCGATCCACCGACTGCTCTAATTCCTCGCGTCAACAGCACCAGAGAAGAACAGCAGCAGAAGCAGCACGACAAGTGCCATTAGCAGCAGCAGCACCGCCACCAGCACAAGCAGTCGTCGCAACAAGACGCAGCACCAGCACAAATGGTAAGCACTGACACGAATCTTTGGCTCACAAGGTCCACGGGCGGCCTCCGCTGTCTTCAGCGAGCGGCCGAGGTCGCCGAGCAGCGCCTTCCCAGGCCGAGGCTGTGGCTTGGGCCGGCTTGGGCTGGTTCGAATCCGCTGCTGCGAAGGAATGAGGGAACCCCTTATATGTCTCACGCAATCACAGCAGCTGGGCAGCAGCGGGGCATCGCCTCGTGGGGTGGCGCTCTCTGGCGCCACTGAGAAGAGGCACCCAGAGTCGATAGGGCCAGGAATGGCAGCAGCGAAAGACAGTTGCGAGGATGCCACTATGGTAAAAAAGACCGAAGCTGGCGCGCACCAAGATTGGAAGGATCAGAAGTTCCTTACGAGCAAGCCGTGCTGCAAGGAACAAACCAGAGCCTGACCCGAAAAGCCGTAATGTCAAGAGATGCTGGCGACTCCAGATACCTGAAGCCTTCAAAAGAAGATGGTTGGGTGCCCTACATCCTGAGACGCTGCGTCGCTGGGAGCCTGTCGCGAAAACTCGGGTCCGCTTTCCAATGCAGCACATCGTATGGCAAACCTTCCTGGCGCCTTCTTGATGTGCTGCTTTGGCTGTGGAAAACAAGAGCGGTATGCGGTATGCACATTGCTGTTCAGCGAGAACAATCGGGCTTGTTGCCCAAGATGTGAAACCATAACTAGAATTGAACGATTAAAATACTTCAGACCGGAATCCGATCCGCAACAAAGGCCGGTCCTGTTCGCTCTGCCGGCACTTCGCTGCTCAACCAGTTGCCCTCTGCCTGCACATCGTGGTCCTCTCACCGGTTTACCTAATCAAGTCTCTCAACACCGCAACGTGGCCTAGCGGGCAGAGGCTCCGATGGCAGCTCATGCACGCACATATACAAAAACTTGGTCATCGAGCTCATTCCGGAATATCCTCAGATCCTCGTCCAAGTACCTGCAAACAACAGCGCAAGCGACTCGCAGATGAAGGGCCTCTCTAGGAGATGCCACGACAAAGGAACTTCCAGTCGAGCTCTTCCAGATGCGGGCGCACGTTACTCTTGCCCGGAGGCGGGCATTGTCGCCAAGGAAGGTCTGGCAATCAGGAAGCCACCACAGAAAGCAAAAGCTTTTCGGAAACTATCGTTTGTACCGCGAGAACTACAGGTTTTACGAGCAAACAGCCGCGGTTTCTGCCGTGCGTGGCTCTGCTTGCCTCGGAGGGGAAGACGACTTGGTCGGCGAGGGGTAGCGTGTTGTCCACAGCCTGACACGACCGCGAAAAGTGAAGAGTTAAGGCAAGGGCTTAGGGTGTTCCAGGGTTTAGGCTCCCGTCACTCCCTTCAAGAATCAGAAGACCAACCTCCGTCATGTCAAGGCCTCGTTTTCCCGAGTGTCCTTTTTGGGCCCGGTCCCCGGTTGCCTGTGTCGTCTCCACAGTCAGCAGGAGCTCAGAAGGATCCTCGGCAGGCATGTACCTGCCAGACTCAGGCGGTTTTGTCACGGCGAGATGGCCAGGACGGGCACAATTAACAAGCAGAGCAGGAAGATGCTTCAGAATGACCAGAACGACAGCTGAAGGAAGTGTGGCGAAGTGGCGCTGCTAGCACCAAAACTCGCAGTGGACCCCTACTGCTGCCATTCCAGTCCCATTGAACAGGAGACGGTAGAGGAGACCAGAGTGGCGTCAGCAGCTGAGGCTGGCAGGAAGCTATGAATCTCGCAGGATGCCTGCAAGTGGTCGTCATCACAGTCGTGCCCAGGCCCCAGATCTGCAGAGAATGTCTCAAGCCATGACACTCTGAGACTCAGCATTCCAACATACTCCAACATGCCAGAGGCTGCCAGAGCTTGCAGCCGACGAGCTCCGAGCCTCCACGGCCACTCGGTTCACGATCTGCCCGTTGTAGAGAGTTTGGGTGGCCTCCCCGATGTTCTTCAGCGGGATGCCTTGACAAACATCGCATAGAAGCACGGCCCTTGCCATGTAAAATCTTGCACAGCAGATTCTGACCTTCTCCGCCTCATGCTCTGTGCAAGTCAACGTTGGTCGCGGAAACGGTGGCGGGTGGCGGCGGCAGAGATAAAAGTTGTGGCCATGCCGCCGCCAGCGGCGGCCGCGGTGGTGCTGGTGGTGGTGGCGCCGGTGGCGGCGGCGGGGGTGGTGGTGGCGGTGATTCTCGTCGTCGTCGTAGAAGTTGTCGTCTGAGGGTTTTGGAATTGGGCGTAACGACAGCCCGGTCAAACAACAGTTATACAGCGTCTTACATCGTACGCGAGCGCAATAAAAGCAACCCAAGCGTAACAACAGTACAACGTAGCAGTAACCACCATCACACTCGTCAACCAAGCACCGCTCGATAAAAAGCAACAAAAAGGCAACAAAAAGGCAATACGTAGACCAGAAAGCAACATGCATCGTCACTAGAAGCAGCACCAGCATGTCACCAAGTGACTACAAGATGGACTAGACTGCCAATTGTTGCAATCATTCATGATCACCATCACTGCTGCCGCCGCTGTTGTTCTCGTCGCAGTCTTCCGGGCATCGAGCCATCCGTGAAGGCGAAAATCGATTCAGAAAGCTCCTCGTTTCAGGCTCTGCTGGGCTCTTGAGCATTTTTGCCAGGCCCTCTTTGCTATGAGGTTTGGAGGCTTTTGGGGTCTTGAGGGCTCAGGCCTCGCGGCGTCTTACCCTTTACGGAAACGAAGCGGTCCTCAGTGTTGAAGAGGGCCCGGCTCAAAGGCGAAGGATCCGGAATTCCCTGGGCAACTCAACTTCTGACACGATCATGCTGATTCGGGCTCAACCGCACAACGCTACAGTTGGCGAAGCATGTACGAAAGGTCTGTTGCGCTGCAGAGGAACTGTCAGATCACGATACAAACCCTATGTTACGCATTGCTACGCTAGTTTCCCGGACTCTGAGCCCCCTCTTCTTCTTCTGCTCTGAGCGGCCTCGAGCATCCTCCGCCAGCCCCAAAAGAAGGGCGAAGACCTCGTGACGTCCTTCACAGAGACGCTTGGCTTCAAGATTCGTGGGCGTTTCGGAGCCTTTCCCGGGGAGGATTGGGCTCTCTTCAATCTCGGGGGAAAATGCCGCTGCAACGATACTGCGGCTTCGACTGCCAGGCTTCTATTTGATATTGCACTTACGCGCGAAGAAAGACACATACAGGGATGAGAACCGAAAGAAGAGCAAGGCGTGCTCAGAAGGTGGAGGACACCAGCTATTCCCAAGAAAGCATGTAGCCAGACAAGACATTTACACAGACTACGAAGACAACAGAGAACAGCATCAGCCAGGTCCTCCGAAGCGAAGATCAGCCTCCATTTTCCTTCCAGCAGGCCTCGTCACTCTGCCATTTTCCAGATTTCAAAGTCTGCCCGAAAGCCTTCGGAGAAAGAGCCCTTAGGAAGCCTTCAAGAAGCACCCAGACAGAAACCGCCCAATAAACTGGAAGGCGACCTGCCGCCCTCATCGGGATCCTCGCTCCTCCTCGTGGTCATGATCCTCGTCGTCATCATTTGCCCATCACCATCGTCACGGTCGTCAACAGCATAGCATGTTAACCAAGACCGTGCCAACATCTCACCCATCGACTTTCGATTCTTTCATCTGGCCCTCCCGCTGTGAGCAGCCCTCTGTCCAAGCCTTTGGTGGGCTCTGGCGTGGGGTTCAGGGCCTCCATCGCTTTGACGAGTTGCAGCGCACCTCGAGTTCGCTCTCATTCGGATTGTGATTGACAACGCTGGAAACCAGGCCTTGTCGATCTGCTTCGCTTCCGCATTGGCCACGGCCTGGGCAGAGACCGACGGCTCACAGAAGGCCCTTCTCCGTCTTTTCAGGTCCCGGCATGTGGATGCCGCAGCAGCCAGGAGTCGCAGCCTGATCGCAGCACACGCAGAGTCACGGAAGGCGGCTGCAGGTTCCCGGCTGCGAACTTAGGAGGGAAATGCCCGTGAATCACCATGCAAGGCATGGCATTCCTCTCAGAAATGCTTTACCACAAGAAGAGCCCTGAGAGCCCTCGTTTCAGGTGGAAGCTTCGTTTTGGGGAGCCGGGAGCCGGGACCTGACTTCCCGTCGCGCCGCCGCGGTGCCGGCAGCTGCCGCCGCCGCCTGGACCTCCCAAAGAGTTCCGATTTGAGCCGACGGCTCCTCTCAGAATCTCTTAGACGCGGGGGTGCGGGGGGCGGGTATGCGGGGGTACGCGGGGGTATGGGGGGGGGGGGGGGGGGGCAGTGAGGCATCGGGTAAGCGACTGCTGGACTCGCACGGTGATCACAAGACGCCGCGCTCAAGGAGTTTTCCACGGGCCTCATTGCTGCAATGCAGCTCAAGTACCAGCCCATGTACAGGAAGTAGTGTAAGCAATGCAGCAAGTATAGGAAAAAAAAGCAAACCCCAAAAAGTTGGAATTATAACGAAAATGGTTCGTGACGGGATTACCTTCATAGTTTACCTCTGCTGCACGGGGACACTGAGGTTTCAACCTTTTTGGCAGTTGCTATATACTCTTCTCACATAGTCCCGCGCCTGTCCCGCTGCCCTGCTGCTCTCATTTCCGACAGCACTCCGCGACAGACGTCCCTGCTTGTCTTCACCAGCTGGAGCCGATGTGTATGGCAGACAACGAGGCTGGGGCGATGACCCACAGAGACGTAGCAACCCACATGATTCTGCACGAGTTCGTAGGCCGTGCGCTCATTCTCCTCGTCCAAGGCAGCTGTCGATTCGTCCATGAAGGCCAGCTCCACGTTGGGTTGGAGTAAAAGCCTCGCCAGATTCAGCCGCTGCGTCTCACCCGTGGAGAGGATCTTCTGCAAGTCCACTTCTTCGTCCATGCCAAAGCGTTTCGGAAGATGGTCCATCTTCAGCTTGCGCAACACCTCGAAGATCCGTGCAGTACTTGGCTCTTCCACGCCCTCTCGACACGGATAGAGGAGGTTGTCTCGAAGTGAGCCGAGACAGAGGTAGGGTGTCTGCGGCACGAAGAAGCACTTCTCGATCCTGGTTCGCAGCAGGGAACTTTTCCCGGATCCGCTGGCTCCCTCGATCAGCAGGGACTGGCCCTCGTAAAGATCGAAGGACAAAGCTTCCATCAGCGGAGCGTTGACCAAGGGTGGGAAGAGCGTGACCTCCGGAGTCACTCACTCTCGCAGTCTCGCTACGGAAACTCCTGCTTCCTGTGCCGAGGATGCAGGTCACCATGCAGAACTAATCGGAAGTAGTTTGATTGTACCCCCTCCCTAAAGCCTCTTTTCTGAACCCCGATGGCTTTGTTTCAACCACTCACAGATTTACGTGTCCTCTTGGGGCCTCGAGCTTCTTGCGAAGCCAGGGGCGAACGCTCACGGGTCTGCATAGCTGGGTTTGGCTTGCTTGTAAGCTGGCTTGGCTTGGCTTCAGCGAGGCCGAGGTGTTCCAACATTTTGCTACCTTTAGGTTTTCTTGAAAGTGCTAGTTTTCGGATGAGGCTTGCTTTCTGGGAGGCGCTGTGGACGTTGTGGCACAAAATAAGGATTCTCTGAGCTTTGAGCATCCCTGACCTGCGACACCTGCAGCCGGAGAGTTGACACAGGGTCGATGTCCTCGATGTGCAACTTCTCCTCCGGAAGGTCCAGCTCCGTCTCATCGGAGGAGTCCAGTAACTCCATCTCAGAGCAGTCCTCAGGATCCGTCCCTGTCGAGGCTTCACTCTTTGAATCGGAAGCTTTGCCTTCCTCGTCCATCTTTTGCAGTGCGTCCCGAAGCTCCTTAACGCGGATGGCGTCCGCTCCGAGCTGGTAGATGGTTTCAAGAAGGCGGCCTAGACCCGTCATGCTGGTCATCGCACTTCTAAACAATTTCAAGGCAAGGTGCAAGGTACCAACGTCCAGCTGGCCCTCAAAGTACAGAGACCACAGGAGGCACCATGGGATAGCTGTTGCTGCTAGGGAGATCAACACGTCGGCAACGTCGTAGATGATCTGGATGCCGGTCTTCTTGTACTCGGCCCATATCGCATAGTCCAGGAACTTCTCACAGCACTCATACTCGTACTTGAAGCCGCCGAAGAACGCCACAGACTCCGCACTCTCCCGAATGCGCATCAGGCAATAACGGAGGCTCGCCTCGACTGCCAGCACGCGCCGCTGAATGCGCATGAGGGGCCCGGCAAACAACCCCATCATGAGGCCGGTGTAGAACACCCACACGGCAGTCAGGATGTAGAGGAACATCGGCGAGATTGCGAAGAGGTGCGTGCAGATCATCACTATGCGCAGAACCTCATCTAGCAGTCTGACGGTAAGGTCCAACGCGGCACCAGTGAAGGTCCCGATGTTCTCTGCGATACGCTCATCAGGATTGTCCACATTGCCATACTGCACGCTCAAGCGATAGAATGCATTGTCCTCACTCACGTAGAGCTGAAGCATGCGGCGAGTGAGATACTTGCGCCAGTCCATGTGCAGCAGAATTTGACCACCAAGTTTCACAATTGCGAGGGGGGCCCTGAGAGAAATCAACAAGCAATAGTTCCACAAAATCGCCAAAAACTCGTCCACCTCCTTGGCAACGACTGCATTCAGCATGGCTCCACGGATCTTTACAAAGCCCACGGACAGGGCCGCACTTGCAACCGAGCGGGCGACGATTATAAGCATCAGCATCCAGGCACGGCACAGTGTCTTGCGGTCCAGAAAGTATGGACGGTACAGGCTGAAGACCGCACGAAAGGTTGCACAACATCCTACCTTTGCAGGCTGCCCCATGCTGAGGACAGTGGTGAACGCCTTGCGGATCCCTTTCCCCTTGCTCTTCCTCTGGCTCCAAATGATCCACATTCACGCATTTAGCAAGGAGCTCCTTGAGCCCGCGCGAGCGCCAAGCCATGGCGCCAAGTCTCTACGTGGTGACACTGGTACGGAAGAATGGCACAGTAGCACTCTAAATCCTCGGTGCTACAGTCTTGGGCCGATACTGGCAAAGAAGGGCAAAGCGCTTCACTCGGCAAGCAAGGGCGATGGGAAAGGTAGCGACAGCAGAGAATCAGCTTGTGTCCGCAGTACCAAGCGGCGACGGACACGGGCAAGAGCACCACCAGATCACACTGCATACGTCTAACATGGAGTGCTTGTCGGACGAGCGCACCCGCCGACTCCCCCAACCCCAAGCTGCAACTCACTGCAGCTTTTTTGTTTGCCCCCGAAGCGTCGCAAAGCTGCACAAGAAGTCACCTGCCGTCTTCCAACATGCTGGGAATGACAAAGGCAAACATGGCAAACCACGAATCAGGCTTGGCTTAGGGACTGCCGGCCTGCACATGTGAATGGCAACCAGCTGCAGACCCGCGTCGTTCAATAAACTTGGACGGTCTTGCCTCATCCGAACAGATCGAAGTCCATCTCTTCTTCCTCCTCTTCCTCCTCAACCTGGCATTGCCATGTGACCCTGAACCCTGAAACCCTAAACCCCGAACCGCCCCTATAATCCCGAAAGCCCCTAAAATCCTAGAGCGCTAAATCACAGAGCAATTCGACCGGCAAGGGCCGTTTAATGCTTCTCCGCAGCACCCCAAACTTTGAGAAACCCCTAGAAAAAAAAACAGCACTGCAAACCCAATTTCAAAGACCCATATACTCAAAAAGCGACAAAAAGGGCCACAACGAGTTAAAAAAAGCAGGTGCCTTCTTCTTCTCCTCGGCTTTCGCTTCGCCGGCGCCTGCGCCCCCGGCTGCAGCGCCGGCTGCGGCGCCACCACCGCCTCCGCCGCCACCGCCTCCTGCGCCACCGCCGAGCCTTGGCTCTTTGGACGGCAGGGGATCTATAGTGGCCTGGGTAACTAGAATGGAGCTTTGGGGCTCATGAGACTTTTTGGTTTGGGCCTTGTAATGTGTAGGGTCCAGCAGAAACACTGGTGGTTGTCGGCAAAAATCGCTTCAAGATGTCCCGGCACTTGGGGTGCCTGCACCCTCTCCGGTCAACAACGATACATAAGCGTGTAATGCTGGCCAAGCATTAAGACACTCTACTCGCTGTTCGCAATCAAGGAAATCGAAGTACCCCATGTCAGGGTCTCTCCTGCATCTGGACCTGGAGATCGAAGCTACGAGGGAGCAACTGCCGCCGATGAGAGGAAGGGCTTTAGGGTGGTTGCCATAGATACCCCTCATTGCTACTCTGGCGATTCGCTTTCGATGTTGCTTCAGCTGAGACCACGGCTTGATCAGCGCCTCCATGCCGACGTTGTTGACCATCTTCGACTGGGCATATGCTCAGGACCCCTACGAGAACTAAGCACAAAGCACAGCACTGGCAATAACCTTAGACATGAAGACAATAGTAGTGCGTGTCTGTATGCACATACATACCTACATACCTAC